ATGTGCTCGCTGAGGTGGCAACCCTTCCGGTAAGTCGTCGGGGAAAATCCCGGGGTACCGTTTCAACAGTTCCTGTAATTCGGGCGGTACAGCTTCCAGCAGTTTCTTGAAATCGCTCGGCTGCTCTGCTTCCTCCACTACTGCGATATCTACTGCGTACACGTCAGCTCCAGCAGCGACAGCCCGTTTCATTGTGATGGCGTTGACGTGCACCGTTGAAGACTCGGGCGACTGCCAGCGAGGTAGTTGGACCCAGTTACCACTACTTCGCACGGTGCAGCTACTCGTCGTCCAAATTCGCGGGTTATACCGTCGCAGCCAATCGCGCCCCAGTAAAATGTCGTGCCCATCCAGTGTTGTTGCGAGCATTTCCTGTGTAAACCCAAAATCCCCCCCGCAGCGGACTTTGACTCTCTCTACCTTTTCCCGTATGGCCAGCGGCGTGCCGTCAACTAAGCGTGCGTCTATCTCCGGTAAGCAACGGCTAAGTGTCAGTTGCAGTTTTCGTGCGGTTGCAGTATTAACTAAACTGTGGCTTGCTCCTCCGTCAATAAAAATCTTCACTGCTGCTCCCTGTATTTTCCCGTGGATCAGTACTGGGCAATCCGTCGCTGTACCCTCCTTATTCATCCGAGCCCGATCGATGGCGTGAATCGGTACTGTGACTCGGTGAGGGTCGGTGTGGTTGGGCGAGCAGGCAGTCTCGTCAGTAGTTGGCCCAACTTCTACTGACTGCTGGCGTTTCCCTGCCTCTGAGACTCCCTCCCCTGCTCTGCTCCGCGGCGCCTTAGCTCCTCTGGGCATTCGCTCTTGCGATGGCCCGGCCTGTTGCAAGCAAAGCAGCGCCCCTTAAATGGCGTGGCGGCTGCATTTGTCGCAACGGCGTTCACAGTGGCGTGCTCGATCGGTCCCCGAGGACGATGTCCGTGGTAGAACCCCGGTCTCGGTCGACGTAGGATGTCGATTTTCTCGGCGAGCGCGAGAATCTCGTTGAAATTCGAGAGCCCGCGTAGCATGATTTCGTGCGAGATGTCTGGTTTTAGCCCTCCGACGTAACGGTCCACCCGCTCCGCTTCGTGCATATAGCCGACTTGCTCGCAAAGTGCGAGAAAACCGCTCGTGTAATCTTGAACCAATCCGAGCTGCCGCCAAGTGCGCAATCTCTGACGCGCCGAAATAGAAGCCGCGATCGGCTCGAAGCGCGCCCGAAGCCCTGCGCACCACGCATCCCACGTGCAGTATTGGGCGGTTTCGCAGAACGAACTCCAGGTAACAGCTGGACCCGTGGGCCCTTCCTCTTGCGACGGTGGCTCGTAGGCGCGTGGCGACGTCACGATGACTCGCCACCAGTCCATAGCGGGGCCCCTTAGCAGCGAAACGGCATACCGAATCTTCGCTGCGTCCGACTCGACGTAATTCGCGTCGAAAAAAACGTTCATCGTGAAGACCCACGATTGAACCGTCGGACCTCCACGTTGGCTTGGGTCGAAACAGGGCGGGCGTTGCGGCTTGAGTGGCATTGGTGTCATGAAGGCCTGTTCGCCACTTGTCGCTGCGAATTCCACGTGCCGACGGTCTTCGCGAGGCTCCCGCGGGCTTGGCGCGCCCCTGTTTCCTCCCATGCCAGGCATTGGTTGGGCGGCGCTATCACTGGCTGCGCCCGAGCGCTGTCCCATGCTGTCGTGTTGTGTTGGTGTACCGGACGAGATGACGATCGGCTCGTCCGATTGCGCAGGTGCATTTGTTGGTGCGTGTGGTGCTGCTGGAGTGTTCACCGTGGATTGCTGACGCGCGGAGTCACGTTCCGCTGTGAGCGTCGCAATTTCGAGCGCCGAATCTTCGAGTTGGCGCACCAGACGGTCGAGCTGCTCCTGCGTCAATGTGGCGAGCGTGAATTCGGCCATGGCGGGGGTGTCGGGCGAGCTCAGCGAGAGCCTCAGTCGTGGCCGTGCGTGCTTACGAGAGAGCACTACGAGCGGCGGTGCTGTATCGCTGAGAGACGTCTACCCCCCCCCAAAAAATTGAGATAGTGGGGAAGCGAAGGTGTGGGTGCGGTCCGAGAAGAGATCGTAGGCTCTGAATACCAAGTGTTACGAGTGCAATTGAGTGATCGAACGAGAATTGCACTATCGAAGCAAGAGTACAATGAGCGAAGGCATGGGCGAAGAATATATAGCGAAACTACAGTGGTAACGGTAATGGACTGTGGTTGTCGCGCGACGGGCCTGGAACTGAGGTTGGGGAAAGTGTCGAAGCGGAGGCCCGGAGCGCGGGTTACCCGCCGAGCCGTGAGGTCGGGGTGCGACGTGCGAAAGTGGCGGGCGGATTGTCGATGCGAGGATTGCGAGTCGTAACGGTGCTGACTGTGGTGCTATAGTGATGTACGCGTTGAGCAGGGATGCGAAGTAAGGAAAAAGAGTTTTTCCTTACAGTCCCCGTCTCAGCGCGAGGTCGCTTTCGCGTCCCCGGCTGTGTTCTGTCAGGCTCCGTTCTGGTCAATTCCACTGGCATTCAGATTTTTCCTTTGCGGGTTTGCGATTGTATGCAATTGACGGAATTGGAAGAAACATGTCGGCCCGGCGGAAAAAGCCAATCGCATGTCATCCAGAAGGGCTTCTATTCTTTTTTTTTTTACCGCGGACAGTTAACGGTTCTTCAGCGCCTTTCCTGCACGGCCGTTAGTTGCTTACATTTGAAAATTGCACTGGAAAAATCTGCATGTATTTGATGTTCCCCCAACAACATTCGGGACACTAAAAGGCACCCCAGGGATCTCGACACACTTCAGCCGTCGGATTTCCAGGTTACCAAATATCGGACAGTAAATATTGCTCGACATTTTGCTGGGTCTGGCCGGATTCCTGAACTTGAACCCATCTCTCCAAAAGGCTGAGCCTAAAGGGTAATTACCTTCTGGGTAACTCACATCGAGCCCGCTGACGTCAAAAGTCACCTACGTGGCTCGATGGTACCCGTCAGATCACGCGCGCCCCTTCGTGGTACCCATCTTCCCTCCGTGGTACCCATCTTCCCTGCGTGGTACCCATCAACTCTGTGCGAATTCCCTGACTGGTACCGCAACATTTCAACCGAGCTGTACACCGTACACCAAGGGTTTCAATGCGTTTTTCAGTATATTGTCTTAACGTTTACAAGCTCAATAGAGTCAGAAGCCCGAAGTGCCACCTAATCGAGTCAATTTATCACACGCATTACCTATAATAGAGTGTAGAAGAAAAGCTGGATTCTTAAATAAAAAACATTCATTGTGTAGATTTGTGTAGGCTAAGAAACATCGACAATATAACGTGCTATAAGATAACGTAAAACTGATATATTGCATCAACCGAAAAAAAACATCCGTATAGCAAACAATCAACTTACACGTTAAGTATATATTGACTTAAGGTACATTTAATTTTCATTATGGGTATTGTTTTGTTTCCAAAAACCAACGAATGTACGTATTATTTGTTTATGATTTTATGTTTAGCTTTGGGGGTGCATGCTCAATTTATTTGCATACAACCTTATAAAGTTTGTTCAAATAACCGACTGAACGCTGCGAAACATGGTCGCAAGATTCACTCTACCTATCGTTCAGTGGTGTGAGCTTACGAAGGTTCGGAGTTAATGTGAGGATTTTAGAAGATGAGTTGATTTCTTTCTATGTTGCACTCTGTCCAGTGTAAGGCACGTTCAAACATTTATGTTCAAGGGTATTAATGTTCAATTAGAGTGTGTAAACGTTGTTATAATACGCATTGAAACCCTTGTTGTACTGAGAAACGCATTGAAACCCTTGTTGTACAGTATACAGCTCAGTTTAAATGTTGCGGTACCAGTCAGGGAATTCGCGCACAGTTGATGGGTACCACGCAGGGAAGATGGGTACCACGGAGGGAAGATGGGTACCACGAAGGGGCGCGCATGATCTGACGGGTACCATCGAGCCACGTAGGTGACTTTTGACGTCAGCGGCTTCGATGTTGGTTACCCAGAAGGTAATTACCCGAGCCTAAAGCCACCATAATGCAGGCTACCCACCGCCTTTTCTTTCTCTGTGGCTAGAGATGCGGACAAGCTGCCACTTTGCTCTGCGACTAGAAGCGCAGACGAGCTACCACTGATAATGCAGATAAGCTACTACTTCTGCTTTCTCCCTGCGACCAACAGATGAGTTGCATATTAGTCGTATATATAATGCAGCTGCAGGTCACGTGAGGTTTTCGCCCTGTCGCATATCCCCACTGCTGAACCTTGGGAACCGCTAACAGAAGGAAGCTGCGACGAACGAGAACGCGTACCGCGTTGTGCCATCGAATGTGATTCGTGAACGACACAATGCATCCCGTCCTCCTCTCCAATAATTCCGTCCTTGCGATGCAGTTGAGTAAAGAACCAGCTGACTTATGGACCCCTCGCCAAGCCGTCGCACGCATCAGATTCAGAGTCATTTCATCTCGTTGCAAACTCGATCGAGCCAATCCCATCTCGCACATGGCGTTCCAATAATTCATGTATCCAATAATTCATGTAAAACTCACCGATTTAGGCTTCGATTCTCTACGATGACCCAGCGGCTGTCATGCTTCCATCATAAATCAAGCTCAAGGTTAGCTCAGCAAAGTCCATTTTCAAAGCAAGATTGCTTTTCCCAGCTTTCCTCTTTTGCGCCACTGTTGCTCCTCTTCGGCTCTTCGCCACTTCGGGAACCTCGCCGTCATCATCATGGGGTCGATGCGCGCCTCTCCTGCCGGACTCCTGCTGCTCGCCCTTGCCCTCATCTGTGGTCAGTCTTCTGTACTTCAGTTCCATCCTCTCTTCTATTCTCTTCTCTTCTCTTCAATTTTGTTCTCTTTCCTACCTCGTTATTTTTCCGCTCTGTTCTCTCCTCTCGCACATCTGATCTCTCTTCTCGTCCCCGCACATCCTCTCCCTTGTCCCCTGCAGCAGTTCAGTTGATGACCACAGCATATGGTGACGTCACGGTGAAACGAATGGCACGCCGTAGCCTGACTGCTGTGTACGGAGACGAAACAGCACCACCAGCGTCCGCAGGTGCGGAACTTACGAATAAAAACGGGTGTGATTCTTATGAGGAACTTAACAAACAAGGGCGCTATGTTGGTGAACGCCATTCTTTTGGGTGTGTCACAGAAGGGTGTGCGTCTGATGCTGCTTGATTCTAAGCAGCAATGCTTTCCTATGTACCAAGTCCCTTTTCCTTCATTGTTTTTACAATTGTATTGACGTGCCGTCCACATGTTTTTACCCTACTGATTTCATTATGACAAGTTTAGGCGCCACCTGTGAGGTGGCATTTCCATATCTTTGTGTGTTGCCCCTTTCTGTTCGCCTCTGCTGCAGATGATCCTGCCTGTGCGGCGTTGGGCTGTGAGCCTGGTGGCACCTGTGAGGTGGATGAAAACGGAGAGCGCTACTGCAAGTGGGGTGAGTGAGTGATTATAGCATTCCTGCCTGTGGGGTGAGTGAGTACAGCATTCCTGCCTGTGGGGTGAGTGAGTACAGCATTCCTGCCTGTGGGGTGAGTGCATTCCTGCTCTCACCACAGCGCACATGCATTTCTCTGTCAAGTTTCCATCAATGTCATCCTGTGCATTGCCAGAGTGAGTGAGAGTGCATCAGGCTTCTGAATTGTTTCTTCTTCTTCCGTTGGCATACCTCCTTCCCCTCATTCCACCATAGCCTAACCCCCCCACTTGCAACCACACTGACATACCGCACCGCACCCATGCCCACCCCCCACACACGATAGTCTCACTGTTCCTCTTCACTGCTTGGTCTGCCTTGCTTCTCCCCTGCTTCCTGCGTTTATCATCCTCACCGCATGTCCCTCTGGAACTGCAAGTGCCCAGGAGCGCTCACATACCGCACTGCACCTCTACTGACCCCTCAGACTCACCTTGTGGCGCCTGCCCCACAAGATCTGCCTGCAAGACCGTGCCAGGGACCGGATTCAGCGAGCTCGAAGTTCCTTACTAACATTGCTCTCACATACCGCTCTTTACCCATCCCCACCCCACAGACTCACCCTGTGGCACCTGCCCCACTGGAGCCACCTGCAAGACCGTGCCTGCATATTCCAACAACTCGGTGCAGGTGCCTTACTGCGAGTGCCCTGCTGGCTACGGGATGACCTCCACCGAATGTGTCCTGGGTGAGTCTCCTCTCTCTGCCCACTCGCCCACTCGCCCACTCGCCCTGCTGTCTCCTCTCCTCACTCGCCTTACTGCGAGTGCCCTGATGGCTACGGGATGACCGCCACCGAATGTGTCCCGGGTGAGCTTGCTCAGTGCATGCTCCCTCTGCTCTCTGATCTCTGCTCTCTGCTCTCTGCTCTCTGCTCGCTGCTCTCTGCTCTCTGCTCTCTGCTCTCTGCTCGCTGCTCTCTGCTCTCTGCTCGCTGCTCTCTGCTCTCTGCTCTCTGCTCTCTGCTCGCTGCTCTCTGCTCTCTGCTCGCTGCTCTCTGCTCTCTGCTCTCTGCTCTCTGCTCTCTGCTCTCTTCTCTCTGCTCTCTGCTCTCTGCTCTCTGCTCTCTTCTCTCTGCTCTCTGCTCTCTGCTCTCTGCTCTCTGCTCCCTGCTCTCTGCTCTCTGCTCTCTGCTCTCTTCTCTCTGCTCTCTGCTCTCTGCTCTCTGCTCTCTGCTCCCTGCTCTCTGCTCTCTGCTCCCTGCTCTCTGCTCTCTGCTCTCTGCTCTCTTCTCTCTGCTCTCTGCTCTCTGCTCTCTGCTCTCTGCTCTCTGCTCTCTGCTCTCTTCTCTCTGCTCTCTTCTCTCTGCTCTCTGCTCTCTGCTCTCTGCTCTCTGCTCCCTGCTCTCTGCTCTCTGCTCTCTGCTCTCTGCTCCCTGCTCTCTGCTCTCTGCTCTCTGCTCTCTGCTCTCTGCTCGCTGCTCTCTGCTCTCTGCTCTCTGCTCTCTGCTCTCTGCTCTCTTCTCTCTGCTCTCTGCTCTCTGCTCTCTGCTCTCTGCTCTCTTCTCTCTGCTCTCTGCTCTCGTCTCTCTGCTCTCTGCTCTCTGCTCTCTGCTCTCTGCTCTCTGCTCTCTGCTCTCTGCTCTCTGCTCTCTGCTCTCTTCTCTCTGCTCTCTGCTCTCTGTTCTCTGCTCTCTGCTCTCTGCTCTCTACTCCCACTCGCTCTGCTCTCCGGTCGCCCTGATGGATATGGGATGACCGCCACTGAATGTGTCCCGGGTGAGCTTATCCCTCACCCACTCTCTCCTCTCTCCATTCGCCCCACTCTCCCTTCCTCACTCTGTGACACTCGTCCCTCCTCACTCGCCCCACTCTCATCCCTCCACTTGCTGTACTCCCTCCTCCCCTCTCACCACCATCTGTCCTCCCTGCACTTGCCCCACTCACTCCTTCCTTTTGCCATTCTTTCGCAGGAGGAAGCTCCACTGTCAGTTCCTTCAGTCTCACACTTTTCGCGAACCCAGCAGCCAAGGACAATACCTCCCGGCCCTACACCATCCGCCTGAACCCTACTGGCTGCACCCAGTACCCACCTGCAGTGGCTGGAAAGTCCACGTTTTTCTATGGTGTTGCGAACATCGGTAGCACATGGAGTTGCCCGTATTACTATACTTACAGCACGGACAACTGTGAAGGGAGAGTGACGGGTCACACTTGGAGACGAGATGGGTTTTTCGCATTTTTCTTGGCGTAAGTGATTGACTGTCTATCTCCATCTTTATCTTGCCTGCACTGTCTTCCCGCTTCCCTTTCTACTTCACTGCTCCAATCATCACGGCAAAATTTTAAAGTGATCCTTCCCTCTTTGTCTTCCCCTTGTTTGTACCATTCACCAGTGGCCCTTACCCCACACGCTCTGTCAAGTGTTATTAGTGGGCTGGCTTTGATCGGACCGTTCTCACTTCCACAACTACCCCAGCTTAGAACCAAGGGACATGCCGTTCCTTGGCTTTGCTTTCTCTGTATTGTGTGTTACCTGCACTCAAGAAAGTGCCATTGACACTTGCTCTCACTCAGTTGCTTCCCTAGTGAGGGTCGAGATTCTTCCTTCCACAGAGAGCCAACTTAGATCCAACTTGGTTGAATAAACATACATGCTCTGCTTTCCAATACCCCAGAATATATTGGTTGTGGGATCCTGATGGTTGATGCTTGACATATGTAGGTTACCCTTTCCATGCTTGCAATGTGAGGTGTTCTTTTTCCAGTGAATAATGCATGTGCGGTGCTCTTGTCCTGATTGCATGACTCGGACTTGCCATTTTGTAAGTCTATGAGATCATTATCGGGACTTGTTCCAAGCTAGTGGTACCGTATGTAGAAGCTTGTGAGCGTTTGTGACAAACATTGGGCTTGTTATGAGTTGTAAAAGAGAGTGCGCAGGTAAACGAATAACGAGACTGTGATTAACTCAAAACTCAGAATACAATGAAGGCACAGACTAATCTAGGGGCTAGCCTAGCTAGGAGGAAACCTCGGACGAGCGAGGTTGGGGTGCAGGTTTGGCGATGGGAAATGCCGAAGGCGACGCGAGGAGCCTCGGCAGCGTTGAAATCGGCCGAACGTGTGAAGTCCGAAAATCGGGCTGTACGCGTAGCAGTCAACCCGATAAGGAATTAAGGAAAATTCCTTACACTACCCCCCCCTTTAAGAAAGGCGGTCAATGTCCGAAACACGCTTGCGCGCCAAATAATCACCAACAAGTGACGAGGCGTTCAGCGAGTCAGAGTGCACCCACGTGTCGTCCTCACTGGTGCGGTCAGTCCAACGGATTAGAAAATCCACGTGGCGACCAGCTGCGTCGAGGCGAACCCGATGTGCCAAAATCTTCGAAGGGTCGAGAGTCGGCTCCGGGACAGGTCGTGCTGTCGGGGCAGCTTGTTGCCGTGCGATGTCGGTCGTGGCGGGCACGAACTTCCGAAGCAAGCTGACGTGGAAGGCGTCATGAATGCGCCAGTCGTCGGGTAGTAGCAGCTTCGCGGTGACAGGTGTCACCATCTTGATAATCTTGAAGGGTCCACAGAATCGTGGCCGTAATTTCGACGGTCCGGGCAGGTGCAGGTTCTTCGTGTCGAGTAGCACTAGTTGCCCAGTAGTCAAGACGAGTTCCCGGCGTAGAAGATCAGTGTATTTCCGGGAAGTGATATTCGCCTTGCGAATTGCGTCTGCGGCTTTTTCTCGGACTTCCTGAAGTTCCGTCACAAAAGTCTGTGACCTCGGGACCGGGTTGTCGAGTGTAGTTGCCGTAGGAACTGTTGGGTCCATCCCGTAATTCAGGAAGAACGGCGAGTGATTAGTCGTGCTGGACGGCGCGTTGTTGAAAGCGAATTCCAGCATTGCGAGGGATTCTTCCCAGCGGGCAGGGTCGGGGCAGTTTGTCCTGATCAGCTGCTCCATGGTCTGATTGGTCCGCTCGGTTTGACCGTCCGTCTGTGGGTGATATGCCGATGAGAACTGTAGCTTCGTGCCGTACTGCGCCCACGTCTCTTTCCAGAACTTGGATGTGAACTTCGGGTCTCGGTCGCTGATGATCGCCGAAGGAATGCCGTGCAGTCGCACGACCGTTGAGATGAAGAGGCGCGCAGTTTCTTCGGCTGTGATTGTCGTTCGGCATGGTGCGAAGTGCGCCATTTTCGTGAAGCGATCGACGACGACGAGCACAGCGTCGTTGCCGGACGGCCCAGCTGGCATCCCCGTGACAAAATCCATTGTCACCTGTTGCCACGGTCGTTCGGGTGGCTCGAGGGGTTGCAGCAGCCCAGCTGGTCGTTGACGTGTCGATTTCATGGCTTGGCACACCCTGCATGAGGATACATATCGCTGCACATCGTTAGAGGAGTCAGGCCAGTAATATTGACGGTGCAGTAATTTCTGGGTTTTATCAACCCCGAAGTGTCCGGAGAAGTTCGAATCGTGGACCTCTTGGATGAGGAGTTCACGCAGCAGCCGGTAAGTGGGAACCCAAATCCGGTCGGTTCCGGCTTTTAGGTAATAGTCCCCTTTCTGCGTCGTGGCCTGCTGATGATTCCCAGTCGTGAAGAACGGGTCCGTAGTGTAGCCGTGGGTAAATAGTCCAGTTAGTAATGGGTTCGAATGGGTGATGAGTACTGCAGCGGATTGTACTGTCGGTCGGGTCAGGGCGTCGGCGATGTTATTCGCCCCTTTCTTGTACGTGATGCGGTAGGTGAAGTGGCTCTCCATGTAATCCAGCCACCGAATCTGTCGTGGGTTGAGGTTGGGTTGGGCTCGCAGGTACTGTAGGGACTTATGGTCTGTGCGAACAGTGACGTCGGCGCCCACCAGGTAGCATCGCCGTAATTTAAACGCGTGTATGATGGCGAGCATCTCCTTGTCGTGAATCGGGTAGTTGGATCCAGGTGGCAGGTCGTCGGGAAAAATGTCCGGGTACCTCCGAATCAGCTCCGCTAAATCCGGTGGTACAGCTGCACACAGCTTCTCGATGTCCTTTCCATCGGTGTCAACCGCCAACTCGCGTAAGCAGACAGCGAACAGCTGCGCGCCCCTGTTGAAGTGGCGAGCTATAGTGATAGCTTTGACGCACGGGGCTTGGATGTAGTCAGGTGTCCATGCAGGCAACTTAATTAGCCCCTCGTGCTTGTTGATGCTGCACGATCCCGTTGTCCAGTCGATGACGGGGTTGTGCCGTTGTAGCCAATCACGTCCGAGCAGTACGTCACAGCCGTCCAATGTTGTCGCGAGAAACTTCATGCTGAAGCCGAAATCGTCGCTGCAGTCGATCCTGACCGTCCGTGTTTCTTCCGTAATCGCCAGAGGCGTCCCATCCACGAGGCGGGCGTCAATTTCGGGCAGACACCTGTCAAGTTGCAGCTTGCATTTTTTTGCGCTCGCCAAATTGAAGAGGCTATGGCTGGCCCCTCCATCGACGAACATTTTCAAATTATGCTTTAACACCTTGCCAGCGACCAGCACAGGGTGATCCACATGATTATCCCCGTTATTCGGCCGAGTGCGATCGATTGCATGAATCGGAACCACGACTCGGTGGGGATGATGGTGTTCGGGCGACGGAGCACAGTCAGTAAAGGGCCCGTTAATTACTGACTCTTCCCATTTCCCTGCTCCTTCCTGTCGTCCCCTGTCAGCGGCATTTTCTCCTGGCAGTCTTTCCTGTAGTGACCCACCTTCCCACACCGAAAACACGGACCCTTAGGAGGCCGGTCGGGTGTATGGACGGCGTTGATCGTGGCCCGATGGGTCTGGCCACAAAAGCTTCTCCCATCCCTGGAAGCTGCTCTCGCGTACTGCATCAGCGCATCAGTTGACTCCGCCAGCCGTACTGCTTCGAGAAACGATGTCGGGCGGCCCCTGCTAACCTCAAAATGTATTTCGTATTTAAGGCCGCTGACGTACTTATCCAACCGCTCTGCTTCCGACATGTCATCAATTTGGTCGGCGAAGCCCATAAATGACGCCGTGTAGTCTTGGACAGATGCCATCTGCGACCATGCACGCAGCTTCATGCGAGCTTGCTCCGAGGCGGATACGTGCTCGAAGCGATCTCGTAAGGCTGCGCCCCACTCCTTCCATGTGCGTATCTTGGTCACACCGAAGATCGGTTCTGCCACTTGATTAACCACTGTAGAGGTCCCGTCTGCCGCATGTGTCACACCTGTCGGCGTCCCTGTTTCCAAAGTCCGGCGCCACCATTCAAGCGCTGCACCTCGAAGAAGCGAAACCGCGTAATTAATACGCGTGGCATCGTCGTTAACTCCTGCTGCAGTGAAGAAGACCTCGACCCCGAACAGCCACCCTTTTACTGTTACCGTCTTGTCCGTAGGATTAAACGGGGGTGGGTTAACGGGCTTGATCTTGATCGTCGTTACTACAACTGGCGCTGCTGCCGCTCGCTGCCTGTCCTCCTCTTCGAAGTCACGTGTGAGCGCATCCAGCGGATTGCTCATCGCTTGACTGTTGCCCTCGCTTTCGTCCACAGGCGACTCCTGACGCGCTTCACCTCGCGTCTGGCGTAGCTCGGCGTTTTCCTCTCGCAGCGTTGTCACTTCCGCCATTAATGTCTTCATGCTCTCCTGCATTTCTGCCACTTGTGCCATCATCTTGTTGACCGTCTCCTGATCCATGTGCCTAGCGCTACGTCTGGTGGGCAGTCGGGTCTCCGTGGCCTTTCCGGCAAGTGAAAACACGAACTATCGGAGTCGGGCAGGATTGAATTAACAATCCCTGCAGCCAACCGTCGTGTAGTCACTAAACCAGCCACACCCTATGCCACCAAACTACCCTCGGAAAAGCGGGGTGAACTAGGAAAGTAGCTCTGATACCAGGTGTTATGAGTTGTAAAAGAGAGTGCGTAGGTAAACGAATAACGAGACTGTGATTAACTCAAAACTGAGAATACAATGAAGGCACAGACTAATGTAGGGGCTAGCCTAGCTAGGAGGAAACCTCGGACGAGCGAGGTTGGGGTGCAGGTTTGGCGATGGGAAATGCCGAAGGCGACGCGAGGAGCCTCGACAGCGTTGAAATCGGCCGAACGTGCGAAGTCCGAAAATCGGGCTGTACGCGTAGCAGTCAACCCGATAAGGAATTAAGGAAAATTCCTTACAGGGCTACTGAAAACGCTCGAGTCATTGAAACGAGTATATGGTTGACCAGACCAGATGAGCCCGCGGAAAATAGGCGGGAAGGGGAAATTCGTGGTGTTTGACCAGTGGGGACGGTCACTATTTGCCGATATCCCCCTCAGGACGTGTCTCACTTTGGCTGGTCCGCCAGTCCGCCCAAACCTGGTCCGTCCCTGAATTTGTGCCTACAGAAATACCCTGGACTGGTCCGTCGGACCAGGGTGGACCAACCGAGTGAACCAGCTTCGGACTCATTGTTGTTGGGTCCGCAGATCCACTCTACAGTAGCGTGTAGGCGAGAGAAACTGTGTTTTTTTTTTTTTTTTTTTTTTTTTTTTGGTGGATATAAGTACACTACCAGCATACATACATCCGCAGTCGTAACTGTTGCTAGGAGGGCATGTAGAGGCTACAAGTACACAGGTAACCAGAGCCCCCCTTATCCTTTTACGGAGGTTGGAAAGCTACACCGCCATCTTCCCAGATCGCCTTAAAACTCGCTCTCCACGTCATCGAGGCCTCTGTCTCGTAGAGCCTGCGCATAGCACCTGCTTCGTCAGCATTCAGGTGGCTCCAGTCACCCGTCCTTTCCGAGGCATTTCTGCCAGCCGTTTTCTTCCGCGCTCTGCTGTAGATCTTCACGTGCCTCGTGAAGCCAACCGCTATGCGCCTCAATGCTCTCTTTGGTTGGAAACGGCTACCGCGGAAAACCGCGTTGCACCTCTCCAGCCAAACTTGATGCGCTGTTATGGATATGATTGCCGCCTCAGGAAAGCCTGTTGACGTGCCACTCCTTTGGAAGAGCATGTCACCGAGAGATCGCATGTCTCTGCCCGGATTCATACACTGAACCGCTTTCCTCATCACCCCCACCACAGGTTGGATCGTCGGGCAGCTGAAAAGGCAGTGATCCTGCGATTCCACTCCACCACAGTACGTGCATTTCGCCCTCGCGCCCAAGAAAGGGAGCCGTTCTCCCACCTGGAGGTTGTTACTGTGCACCCTCAGTATTACTTCCCGTGCCCTGCATGGGGTTGCCAGTGAGTCACGGACCATGATGGCCTTCCCCCAGCCGATCTTCCTCCCCAGCTCCTCTTCCCACTTGAGCTGCTGTTTCGGTTGCGTCACCGAGGGTTTCATCGCCTTCCTCAGCTTCTTTAGATCAGCTCGCTCGCCTTTCTCACAGATTGTGGAAAAAAGCAGTCGTGTTCTTGGAGCGCCGAGTAAGCCGCGGGCCCTCCCGTCTATGACTGCCATGGGTGAAACGCGCCGAAAGTCCACCGTTCCCACGTTAGCATATTCCACCTCACCTATGTTCCCTTTCTTGTCCACCGTCACTCTTCGACCATATAGTTCGCCGTTGCTCACATACTGCAGCTGGTAGTAAAAGAACACTCCTGGCCGGTAAGACGCAGAGCGGACCAGCCTTGTTTCCCTGAAAAAATCCTCCGCAGACAGTTGGTTGAGTACCAGATCCTTCCACCTCTGCGGCGCCGCCTCCCACGCCTTCAGGGCCCATTTCCTCTGCTCCTCACCTCCCAGTTCCCTCTCCAGAACCTCCTCACTCTTACGAGATCTGCTGCCATCCCCTCCTTTCGCCACCGAATCCCCCAGTCAAATGCCCTTCAGGCAAAGCGAACCCGCCTGGTTTCCAAAAGGTGATCTGCCTCTGAAGAAAATATTGCGATTGAAGAGTAGCTCCTCCTCCTCCGCGTCCCACCTGTGTACCGGGTCGCCTATGGTCACCAGTTTTGAGTCCCACAACGCTTTAATAGTGGCTTTCCATCTCGTTCCTCCCCCCAGCCAGGACTTCAGGACCGAAGGGTGCGCGTAGATTGTGGCCAAGCCGAGGGGAAAAGCCGCCGCTCTCTCCCATAACCAATTCCGAAGTGGCTCCTGCTCCGCCAGGGCCTTCCCCAATCCTTGAATCACCATGCTGTCAATCCGGTGCTTCAGATCAATCACACCCAGGCCTCCCTCTTTCCGTCCTCTGCACGACAGTTCGTAGCTCCACAGCGTGAAGTGCCTGTCGAGGAGCGCCTTCCCTCCCGAGATGAAATTGTGACAAAGCCTCTTCACTTTAGTCCAGACCTCGTATGGTGGGGCGTAGATCTGCGCCTGGAAAAGCAGGATCGGCATCGCATAACTGTTAATGATTGTAACCCGTGCCGAGGTTTTGAGATGTTTAGTCTCCCAGCAGCTCAACACCGCGCTAACTTTTTCAAAAGCCTTGTCCCATGCAGGTCCCGGTGAGCCTCCAGAGGTGATCCAGATTCCGAGCAACCTTTCAGACGCGTTCTTATCCGCCCACTTGAAAGACGACGCTATCGGCTGCAGCCTCCTTCGATTTTTTCCCAGCGGCATTAGTGTGGTCTTATCGCGGTTCACCTTCAACCCTGAGATCTCCGCGAACTCCCCCAGTAGTTTCTCAGCAACCGCCACCTGCTCCTTGCCCTTCAGTACCAGTGTCGTGTCGTCTGCATACCCAATGTAGTCTAGGCTCCCTTGCACACCTCTCTTCCTGACCCCCAGTTTCCTCCGTTCTATTTCTTGACAGAGTGGCTCAACCGCGCAGAGGAAGAGATATGGGGCAAGCGGACAGCCTTGACGTACCCCTTTGGCCATCTCCACCCGTTCTCCAATCCAGCCATTCAACAGCACCTTCGTCGCCGCTCCGTCGTGAAGACCCTTCACCCATCTTGTGAACTTCCCCGGGAAGCCCATGTTGTCCAGCGTCGTGAAGAGGTATTCCCGTGATACCGAATTGTAAGCTTTCTGAAAATCGACCAACAACAGCAACCAGTCCTCGTCCTCCTGCTCCGCAGCGTCGATCGCATCCGCTACCAGAGAGACAGCGTCAGTGAGGCTCCTTCCCGGAAGAAAACCGAACTGATTGCTGGAGATCACTCTCGGTAAGACCACCTTGATACGATTCGCCAAAACCTTCGCCAGTAGTTTGTAGAAGAAGCTCAATAATGTAATCGGCCGGTAATTTCCCAAATCATCCCTGTCTCCTTTTTTGTGCAGAAGTATCGTAACCGCCGTCGTGAAGGACTCCGAAAGCACACCCGCTGATTCGAAAATCCTGACTTCCCTCATCACCGCCGGGCCCAACAGCTCCCAATTTCTTTCGAAAAATTCTTTCGGCAAGCCGTCCTGCCCCGGGGCCTTCCCCGCCGGCAAGCCTTTAAGCGCGGCCTTCACCTCCTGCTCCGACCATTCACTGTCCAGCTGTAAGGGATCACTCTCCTGCAGCGTCTTTCCCTCTTCAATCGGCCACGGCTCCACAGGATCGGACGACGGCGACAGCGCGTAGGCTTCTCGGAAATGTTACGAGGCCGCTTGCAGCGCCTCGCTTGCACCCTTCCTCAGCACCCCTTTGAAAGTAAGTTCCGCTATCTCAGTTTTCGCCTTCCTGGACTTGACCAAGCCCGACAGGAAGCCTGATGGAGTCTCCCCCGCCAGCTCTTGCAGCAACCCCGTCAGAACTTGCAGCCGCTCTTTGTTACTGTCCTAGTAAAGCTTGAGAGCCGCTTCGTTTTTTATCAGGTCCTCGTACAGAGCCTGCGACGAAGGGTCTGACATCACCTTCCATCTGAGCTCTTCCACCTTCAGCTCCAAGTGCACCATGGTCGCCTTAACCCTTTTCCTCTCCTCCGCTACATGAGCTCTCATGCTTGCTCGCAGGTTTGTCACCAGCCTCTCCAGGCCCTGGTCCGGATAATTCGCTTGCGAGTCTAGTACCGCCGATATGATGTTCCTGACGCCTTCACCCCCAGCATGGGGTGCCTGAAGCCTCCACAACCCTGGACCATGGTCATCTGCCGATGCAGCCTTGAGCGACACCGACACAGCAAACCAGTGATCTGTTAACCCGTATGGGACCATTCTGTGTTTCGCCTCCACTACACAGCTGAGAAGAGAGTGTGACACTAAAACCCTGTCAATCCGTGTGCTTGCTTTTGCAGATCTCGAGAAGAAAGTGTACTCCTTCCTGGTCGGATGGAGACTCCGGAAAGCATCATGCAGATCCCATCTCGAGCAAATCTGCAGGAGCCTCTGGTTTTCCGCCGGTGTTCCCAGTTTTGAGGATTTGTCCAGCTCTGGATCCGCAACGATGTTAAGGTCGCCAAGAAGTATGGTATACGGAGAGACACCCAAGCTCTGCACAAAGGGTGTTAGTATGTCACGAAAGAAAACCCCCCTAGCGGGTGCTTGTGCAGGTAAATATACAGCCACCACTCTGCATGTCAGATCGCGCCATGCGATAATCAAACTTATGATACGGCCGGACTCATGCTTAACCACGTCCGTGAACCGCATGCCTGGCAGGAAACCCAAGACCGCCACCCCCCCGGCTCTCTGCGACGGGCCAACCACCGCTTGTGCTTCCGACCTGACTTGCGTCCAGAAGTTATGATCTTGTGAAACTCGTGTGTCGGTGAGTACGACTACATGCGCTGCTTTCCTGATCCACTTTCCGCATCTCTCTTGTTTCCCACAGCTACCGAGCCCGTTGATGTTGAGCTCGAGGAAAGTTAAGCTGTTGCGTTTATCCATTAACCACTGTCCTTGAGCCCCACAGCATCCACGGGCGGTTGATCTTTATTGCGACGATGCATCCAGCTACAGCAAAGGAGAACATGACACCTACTACGCAGCTTGCGCCAAACAGCCACAGAGTCATCTCATCCACTAAGCCGCTGCTCACTTCTTTGCCGGCGTGATCATGAACTCTTTTATGAAAGCAGCCATTTTCTGAGAGTTCTTGCTGGCGCGTGTTGTAGCACCTTCCTTCTTCAGTCCTCCCTTGTGCCTGGCAGAAGCGACATGAGTCGCCGCCTGCTCGAAGCGATTCCCTTGAGCCTTCTCGCATACAGTCTGTACGCACACCCACTCCTCCCGCACACCTCCTGTAGAGGTGAGTATGACTGCGGGGTCTTTCAGAATGCGTGTCAGAGACGCTGTGGCTTTCAGGGAAGCCGCTGCGAGAGGAGGTGAGGAGACAGTCGTCAGTACGATTCGGGAGGCATGTTCTGAGCGGGGTGGAAAACGAAGGCAGCGGAAATGAGAGGTGAGGGTGGGGAGTCGTCCTGCTTATACCGTTCATGTCATGAACCTTTTTGACCGACAGGTTCCAGTTGGTGAAATTCTCCTGCCTCGAGGTGACATAGTGATCGTGGTAACGGGACAGGTGCTGGCCGCTGCAGAGCTCGCAGGTAAGCGATGGGTAGTGCAGCATGTAGCGCCTGCCAGTCGACGGGTCCTCCACAAAGTATCTCCAACGGTATTCATCATCAGCGTGGGGGATAAACAGGCCGCGGATACGGTCGGTGTCCAGCCCAGTGACCGGATCGACGGTACGATGAAAACCGAATCCGCTGGCGAAAGCACTCCGACCGCGTTTAACCAGCTTCGACACCACCAGCAGGTGACGAATCAGCTCAGCAGTCATGTCCGCGGGAACTCCTTTGACAACAACCTCCTTCGCCGTCGGATTCAGCAGGCGCTCGCGGAGGAAACGCGCATCTTCGGGGTGCTGCCAGGTAAAGTCGACAATGTCGCCATTCGCGCACTCGTGCCTGATGACTTGGCTCCAAACAAAGTTTGCGTCACGGACGTGGTTGAAGGTAACTTGAAGGCGACCATAGCGTGCGCCAGAGAAATAGGTCGCCGTAAGTTCCTGGTAAGTTGTTGTCTGCAGCGCATCTGGCGACAGCTGGTCCTTCCATTCTTCCAGCGAGGCAGCCACAGTTACAGCAGTCCGCTTGACTTCAGGTTTCCTGTTAAACGGCACCAGCAAGGTCAGTGAGAATCTTTTCAAGGCGATAATGCTGCCGAGCGAAGCTGGTTCCAGGTGTTCGTCGGAGTCGTCGCTCAGGTAACCATCTTCATCATCGTCTGGAGCCTGATCCGACGAGGCATCATTGTTCTCCTGCGCGTCCGCATCATCTTCAGCCTCTCCTTCAGCGGCCTCTTTTTCACCCTCCTTGCCAGCGGGGTCAGCAGCACCATCAGCAGCAACGCCGACTTGTTCGCCATTGAGGTCGGTCTTGATCTGTAGGTCCAATAAGTCTTCGAAAGGGCCACGCACCACTGGCGACGAGGAGGTGGAAGGCGCATGACCTTTGACAGCAGCATCCTTCTCAGGTACCGTAGCGGTGGATGACATATCGGCAGCCTTGTCAGTGACTGTTGACTTCTTGCTAGTCTTGTTGCTGCGAGCTCTCCCCATGGTGCGATGATGAGAAGAGCTTGTCCGCCCGTTGAAGGCTGAGATACAAGCCGGACTGAGCACAGCTGATAATGAATCCGAATGTTTATACTTCTTATGTTTGAAACTGAAACGCTGCAGGTCCAGGCCAGGGAGGGGAGCCATAACCTTAGGGAAAACCAGACAGCCAAGTTGGTTAGGAGCATTGGGTTGTGCTGAAACATAGGAAGTGTCGTCCTTGAAAGTAGCGCGAGTTGTTGACGTTGCCGAGCGCAAAACTCGATGGTAGTCTCTTGGGAGCTTGGGACCTTGATAGTAGCCATGCGCATTAGATAACCTTGAAGATGCATGAAACACTGTCGACAGCCTGGAACTCGCATAAGTGGTGTTTAGGTTCCCGTAATGAACACTAAAAAGACACCACTGTGTAGAGCTTAAAGCCGCGCGTCGTCCGAGAGTCTCAATGTCAGGATCAGGCTGGAAATTGATGCACAGAGAAACTGGGTTACCATGACGCAAGACTGTACAGTACACTTGCGCAGCTTCTCCCTGACGCGTGTGGGCGCCAAAATTTTGCGACAGAGAGACGTGATTGTCAAAGTTATTTTATGTAACTGCTTGTGGTTTAGGTGTAGTGTATTTATCTTGTCTTCTGTTTGGTGGTGCACCTCTAGTTTCTTGACTATATGTTGTATCTCTTTGCTATTATTGAACCCTTCTTGTTTGGCCAAACCCTCTCGACCTCCCTCTCGACCTTCCTCTCGCTATCACTCTCGCTATCTCCATGGCTCCTAAGTTCCTAACTCGTTAGCTGTATTTCTGACATGTTATCAGAGTGAGGTTCCACCTAGGACCTCCTTTCATGGGCCCACCAACTCCGCCGTCATACATGGCGGTTTTTTCTGCTGCTGGCGCGGAATTGCCGGGTGGCGCGTTTTCTGCTGCTTTTGCTGAACCCGTCGCGCTGCCCTGCTCGCCGCGCCCTGTCCTGCCCTGCGCCGTTTCGTCGCCTCGCGGTCCCCCCTCCCCCGTCGCTCCGCGCCGTTTCGTCGCCCCGCGGCCTCGTCGCCCGCATCCTCGTCGCGAGCGGAACCGTCGCGAGCGGCCATGTCGCCCGCGGCCCCGTCGCCCGCTTCTCGTCACCCCCCTCCCCCCCTCGTTACGCGCAACAGCAGCCGAGCGCACTGCAGCTGCGCGCGTTCGCAGCCGTGCGCAGCTGCGCGCGTGGCGACTGCAGGGCGCACAGCTGCACGAGCAGCTGCACACGAATCTGCAGCCCTCGTGCGCCTCTGCCACGCTGCCCTGCGCGCTGTTACCCCGCCCCCCTTCTTCTCCCTTTCCTTGCTGCACGTGCAGCAGAAGGGGGGGGGGGGGGGGAGAGGGTGTTGGGGGTCGGGGGAGTGGCGGTAGGGTTGCCTGCGCTTGTGGGGTGAAGGGTGATGGGGGTGGCGGATAATGGAGGGTGAGGGGGTGGCAGGAGGGGTTTCTGCAGCGCCAGCCGCCCACCACCTCCTCCTCTCTCTCCGTGCCGCACCTGTTGTTGTGTTGGCAAGGGGGGGGGGGGGAGCTTGGAGGTTAACGGGGTGGTAGAGGGGATCTGCAGCAGCAGCCGCGTCCTCCCCCTTCTCTCCTCTCCGTTTTCCACCCACCACTGTCCTGAGCCGCCCCCTTCCTGAGCCGCCCCTGCTGTGGGGATGAGGTGTTGCTGGGGGGAAGGGGGAAGGTTGGAAGGGGATGGCCGCCGTGAAGTCAGTTGCTCCAGTAGCCAGTGGGCCGGTTGCTCCAGTCGCCAGTGGGCATGTTTCTCCAGTAGCCAGTGAGCCGGTTGCTCCAGTCGCCAGTGAGCATGTTGCTCCAGTAGCCAGTGAGCCGGTTGCTCCAGTCGCCAGTGAGCATGTTGCTCCAGTAGCCAGTGAGCCGGTTGCTCCAGTCGCGAGTGGGCCAGTAGCTTCAGCCGCAGCCTACCACCTCCTCTCCTCTCTCTCCCTCTCTCTCTCCTCCTCCTTGCCTGCCCTCTCCCGTTCTGCTGCGCACTCTGCCTGGTGTACCCCTTCAGGGGGCGATAACTACACTTCTTCCCACAAGCAATTATGGGGGCGTGTCAAAGTTATTTTATGTAACTGCTTGTGGTTTAGGTGTAGTGTATTTATCTTGTCTTCTGTTTGGTGGTGCACCTCTAGTTTCTTGACTATATGTTGTATCTCTTTGCTATTATTGAACCCTTCTTGTTTGGCCAAACCCTCTCGACCTCCCTCTCGACCTTCCTCTCGCTATCACTCTCGCTATCTCCATGGCTCCTAAGTTCCTAACTCGTTAGCTGTATTTCTGACAGTGATTTCGTGAGTGTTCGCCAATACTATGACTGTTCAGGGGTCCGACGTGGACCAGCTCGCTGAACCTGGATATCCTCCCCAATATAGTCCCTTTCGCCCGCTAAAACGAGGGTGCTGGTTTGCTACACCCACGGTCCACATTGCTCAGAGAGCGGGTCCACGCTTGGGTCCGATGTGGTTTGGTGGACTGGTCCCCATCGACCGCATAGAGCCAGGGTGGACCGAGGGATTTGAGACGCCTTCTCAGTTCTTTTGCTGTGGGGCGCTATCGCGTTCATTCTTGCGAGTATCGCGGTGTGGTATTCACGACACCATTCCCTCAATCACACTTACGGCAGAACCTCTGGTTCGCTTTTACGGTACGTACCGCGCTATTCGTCCGAATTCTGGTGTGGTATCGCTCTTCGCATTATATCTCGCAAGTTCCTTTATCAGAGGCGTAATGTGGCAAAGATTTGGCTCCAAAATAATCCAACCCTCACCGCGTGGTGTTTCTGGATACGGCCTTGAGATTTCGGTGAGCAACAGACCCCCAGCGCCTCATACAGAGCAGCCAAACAGATAACCTACTTGTAAAACAGAGTAGCTGTGACTACTGGAGGGCTGGAAACTTGGCTGGAAAGTCTTAGCAGGGCTGCTGGAATTGACTGGATGAGGTAAAACTTCACTATGTTCAAGATTAACAAGCCCACTAAAGCACAACTCTAGGCATCACAAACAAGACAGATTGAAAGCTCAAACTAGGCTGATAGACAATGTAACTTCCCTGGTAACTTGGGCACAATCTAGATTGGATGGACCTTGAGTGACTTTGAGTGCCACATGAGGTGCATGAATAAGAAAACTCTGGATATTTCTGTTATAGCTGATTCTGATGTGTAGAAACCTGTAGAAACTGCCAACACTTCGGTTTGAAGGCAGCTTTGAACTATATCGAGTCTTCGGCTGAAATCTGATTGGTGGTGGAACTTTCGAAGTACTTCCCGAAGCTCTGATTCATCGCCGACATTCCCCCTTGCTGCTGCTTGTGTGCAAAGGGCTGGGGCGGCAGAAACTCGATTCTCCAACAAACCTACCATTCGCGTTCCTTCCAGATTCCATTTCTTCCTATCCCAGCGCAACGAGACCGATGAGTCGCATAATGCTGGCAGATATATTGCTTCTGAACCGCGAACAGACAATGCCTCGCCGTAAGCCTTTGCGTTGCGCTATCGGTTCGCGAACGCTAGTAAATTTTGTCCGTTTCTTGCGACCCGTCTCCCGTATCGCGTTTCCCGAATTCAGATTGGCTCGTTTCCACGACTCACGCGAGCCAAGCACACATCACGTTCCTAACATTCAAATAGATTCTGTTTCAGCGATTCAATCGCACAAACACGCATCCAGGAGTTCGCTACCATGGCGCGGCGACTGATCGTAACAGTGTTACGCTTGGCTCATGATCGTAACTCCCAATACGAATCACTGCACAGTCCAGGCCAGACGCAAGCCTTCCAAACTTCCGTCTCTTTCATTCTACCATACTCCTTCTTACGCTGTCCTTCGCATTGGAAGAGAAATGCGTCGTGCTTAGTGAATCGAACGGAACAAACACCTCAATTACACCCCGCACTCTACACCGCAGCATCACTCTCCGTGTGACTCTACACCGGCGTAAACCGCACGTCACATCACAAAATCTCGTTTAGTGCGCCGCTTCTGCCGCCTCTCCCGCGGGACCCTCGTCATCATGGGGTCGATGCGCGCCTCTCCCGCCGGAATCCTTCTCCTCGCCCCTGCCCTAATTTGTCAGTCTTCTTCGCTCTCATTTCTGCAAACTCAATGACTTGTGATCTGAGAGGGGGCCTTGCATAGATGCTGTGGGGCCTCTGAGATCCATCCCTTTCTCGTTGCTCCCTCCTTCCTGCTCCCTTCTGTTTCCCATGTCCTCTAAATTTTCAGCTCTATCCTCTCTTTTCCCGACTCCTGCTCTCTCACATTATCACATTTGGACTTTGTTCTCTCTTCTCCGCACATCCTCTCCCGTGTCCTCTGCAGCAGTTGAGATGATGAAGGCAGCGAATGGCGAGGACATGGTGAAACGCATGACACGCTGTCGCATGCTGAATGCCGCGAATGGCGATGGGCCATTTCCAAAAGCACCAGCACGGGCAGCCCCAGCACGGGCAGCATCAGCACGGGCAGCCCCAGCACGTGCAGCATCAGCACGGGCAGCATCAGTGAGGCATCGACCACGCAGGTGGCGACTGAGGTGGCGGTGGGAGGGCTGCAATTGAGCTTCAACACGCAGCGCTGCGTGAGCTTTCCCAAGGAGGAGGCGAGGCAGGGGAACGTGAAAGTGTGGTGGCGGGGCGGTGGGGGCTCAAGCTCAGGGGGCTCGAGCACCGGGGCCTTGAGCAAGGGCGGGTATTCGAGCCAAGGCGGCTTCGGCCACTGTGGTTTTAGCAGCGGCGGGTATTCGGGCCACAAGGGCTCGAGCTATGGCGGCTCGAGCAAGGGCAGCTTGAGCAACGACGGGTATTCGGGCCACAAGGGCTCGAGCTATGGGGGCTCGAGCAAGGGCAGCTTGAGCAACGACGGGTATTCGGGCCACAAGGGCTCGAGCTATGGGGGCTCGAGCAAGGG